AGCATGGATGACCATGCGCACATGAGAGTAATCAAAGCCGGTGCCAAGTGCTGAGGTTGCAACAATGAAGGGAGCTGCCAGGGAATTGAGCCAGCTGCGCAAGATCTCTGCCTTGCCATCTGCTGTATCTGCTGATTGTGCCGTGTACTGCAAGCAGTCTAGTATTTTGGAGAGCTCCTCAGCCTGCGCCAGCTCTCGTACAAAGATGATGATCTTGTCTTTGTTGCGATCAAAGCTTGACTCGGTGCTCCAGGCATGCTTGGCGCGTATGGCAGTCTCTGCAAGCAAATGTGCACCGCCCTTGACCTGGGTCACCGCATATGCAATGTTGGGGCGGTTGCTTGGTGCACGTATGACCTTTGGCTTCTGCAGGTGGTGCTGCTTCTCAAACATCTCCTGCATTGAAGGCGGAAGAGTTGCTGTCAAGTAGACAAACTGCGTATTGTAGTTGCGCAGTGACAAGAGCTCAAGCATCCTGGTACAATAGTTGCTTGTAGTGACTGTGAGGTGTGCTTCATCGACAACAATCCTGTCCAGCCACTTCTTTGCAGCAAGCAAGGCAATATACGAACAAAAGTCAGTCGTCACGGCTGCTTCAACCATGACAAAGATCAAGGGTGCTTCCACTGTGGGATTGGCAGCTGTCCATACCGCATACTCCAGACCAAGGTCTTGCGCACGTTGCATCATGTTGATGCGGAGTGCAACAAGCGGCAGCACCACCACAGTGATGCCTGCGCCTGCAAATGTAGATGGCAGCATGAAGAGGAGGCTCTTCCCAGCACCAGTGGGCAGGATTGCAATGATCTGCTCCTGCTTTGAGCAAATTGCCTCCAGCGCTTGTCGCTGTTCAGTTGAGCGCCAAGAGAAGTTCTTCTTTCTGAACAGCTCTTGTGCTTGCTTTAGAAGCGCACTAGCCGTCCATCAGGTGGGGTTTGCAGGTTTGCCAACTGCCAAATGCTTGAGAACTGCCTCACTCTCTGCCAGCGCTGCATCTTCTGCGTTCCGCTTTGATGATTCCCAAGCAAAGGTCTTGTCGAGACTCCAGAGCTTGTGCCAGGTGAAAGAAGCAAGTAGACCACGCTGGATGAGCCCATCATACGTGAGTGCAAGACCTGCGCCATGAGCATTGGCATACTGGCGGTTAGCAGTGCGTGACGAGTGATTTGCCTGCCAGTGCATGACACGTGCTTCATCATCCAGCTCCTCATCTTCTTCCTCAATCTCTGCCAGATCAAAGAAGCGACGGTCACCATC